TTTGTCTTGAATTTATCTTTGAAACTTATAGGCACACAGATTAAACCTGTGTTGTTGATTTTGGAAAACACTACTGAGGCTGCCTTGCTTCCCTTCAGAAAATCTACATTTTAACCAACTTACATGACATTCTATGTTATATTGACTTTATCATATGTAAGCTTATGGTGCATTTCATCAATTAATAAATAAATGTGAAAATCGTAATTTTCAACACAAATAATAGTCTCGCTACCTTAAGCATCAGCTTCTGGATCCATATCTCCGACATGTTTATGTTCCAATTGTATTACTATAAACAAAACCATATATTTTAAATTTGATAACTAACAGGGACTGTGTCATGCATGGCTGGTTTAATGTGTGTCTCAACTCGCAGACTAAACATTTTCGTTAATATTCCCGCCAAACATTTAATCTAGTTTGATTTTTTTAAACTCGTTAAACTTGTCTCGAGGTCAACCCAGTAATATGATTACATTCATACATAGATGACGAATACAGTGTGTCAGTGCGAGAATAGAGTATGGAATTAATTGTCACTTCTCTGCCCAATGATATGTACTGAATTCCTGTGCAAACGTATACACCTTTCAATGTCCTTCATATCTTAGCCAAACCATAGACCCTTGAGGGTCTATGGCCAAACTAACTAACTAATCTGTTGCTATGATGAGAGTTATAACAACTGGGTGTGTCAATATGGCATTGACGCTTCATCACTATGACAACTTGGCACTTCTGATGTCACAAATCAGTTACAGGCGTCAGACCTTCCGCATTACTTAGTGGGATCAAAATACTTTGGTTAGCCAACAATCTCAATTGAAACGTTGTATGATTTCATTGATTATGTTTTGCATAATTAAACAGGAATATTGATCTGCAATGTGTGTCTGTGTATGCTCTTACGAATAGTGCATCTCGTATCATCAACACTTTGACAGGCATTCCGAGGAATCTAGCATTTGATTCAAATTGTTATAAAACATAGTATACTACTGTGATGCCAGTCTTAAAACATAGCAAAATCTGGTGACTTTGCCCTTTGTTATATAATATTATTCCCATTGTTTATTTCAATATCAATATGCATTGTCATCATTATTTTTGAATACGAACAAGTTTTAGGAGTGAAACAGCAGTGGGAAAGCAGTCTAACCGAATGTCTTTGATTGATGTAAATATCTTACAAAAACATTGGTGCCTAATTTGTTTAATTATTTTAAGGGACATAATTTCCAGCTTTATTCAATGTAATTCAGATATTTTAGTATAAAAACAAATGCCTCATCTCAGAAAAAAGTGCCACATTTAGAGGTGAATAGATTCGTAAAACATGCAAGATAACCGAAAATCTTAGCGAGCTTTTGTCCAAGTATTCTGTATAGGTATCTGTCACAAATTTAATAATTTACTGAGACAAATATGAACTGCCTTATTACATTGTGTGACTACTGTATTATTTGAAAAAAAAGGAAAAACGCCCTCTGTGAATAACTATCATATTCCAAGCTCTGATTTGTATGCAAATCAACTCAAGTAGTTAGTTGGTGTCCAATGGAGAGAGAAGTCAACAGTACTGTTGCCTCCTGGGAGTCAACATCTTCAAACACTGCAATTTTTGTTTTTGAAGTATGTTTTTAAATTTGCATTATAAAAGCTCTATAAATCTGTTCTTATAGTTGGAACAATGTCCTGTGAAGACTTTCAAAATTTATATACTTCAACAAGGAAATGTTATTATTCATAGGAGTGCTTATATCGATTATCTTACATCTTGTTTTCTGTTTAGATTGTATTAGTATGTTTGCAAATGTTTATTAGACTATATAACAACTCTCTTCTTGAGCTGGCATTGAAACCCACTCTAGTATTTGGGAAATACATTACCAATGATATTATTACAAGATAAATGATTCACTTCACTGAACACATACAACAATGCATATTCCCACTTGAACTGGCCTTTGAATGTGTATAAACAGTCAAAATATTTTATCAGATGTACTCAATTTTTGCCTGATATTTTCATACATATATGTCGTTCATACTAAGGGAAGACTATATACTGGTGAATAAGGTGACCAAGTTTGATAAAGTTTGGAAAAGAATTGGTGAAGTTACTGTGCACATATTAACAATTATTAACAAGGAAGACGATAGACATTTTTTCCCTCAATATACCTTATATAATTTCTACGTATGTATACGTCATTAACATTTAATTTACAGTAATAGCGATTCAAATATCAACTCATTATCATCATGTCATGACAGTTAAACGATTAATGTGTATTGCAATTTAATTCCAGTGTACCAATCAGCGGGAGGTTTACCACCTGATATAGAATTCAGCTGGAACGCTAAGGACTGGGGTAACTTTGATCTTTGCCGTGACGTCAAGCCTGAAGTGAATGTCACCGACTTTGGTGGTCTTTATTGCTTAACGTACACTGATTCTAACATATTGGTAAGCAAAAAAACGTCTACATAGTTTTTCTTTTCATCCTTTTCATTGTTAACTACATCCTGTATCGTGAGGTCATTAATTTGAAACCATGTTAATTCTACATACCCGAACTATTGTGGACAAGTAACCATTCGTACGGTGCACGGAAAAGTTGAGGTTGGGAGATTTTAAAATGTTGCTCAGGTATTTGCGCCTTTATAACATAAACACATATTTATACATAAACAATCCATCGAGAAATATAGTGAAAAGTCACCAATATGCTATTGATGTTGTCATTTTAAAGTTCTCTGTCATGATATCAACATTCCTGTTTCATTGACCAGGTAGGTCAGGATTAGATATCGGACACTGTTAAACTACATCATTACCCTAAGACGCCGTGATATAATTCATAATTAATAAAAAAAATACCGTTGCATTCATGTTTAAATTAGAAAACAAATGACTTGTCATGTTGTTAATATAAATATGATATGCGCATAATCTTAAGTTTTATATATTTTTTTTTATTTTTTTATTTTTTTTGTATTATATTCAGACATCGACTGTTGTACAGCTTGGCGTTTGTTTTCCAGATTCATGCACAGATAAGGACGTCGGAACGTTCGTCGTCGAAGGTGAGAATTGGCAAGTGTTACACAAATAATGGAGTACGTGTATGAAATCATATCGGCAACAATTAGCGAGTGTGTGACTTTTATAACAAACCATATTGAACTGATAGCCAATGACTATTCACGTATTCAAACACTGAATATTACGTTTCACTTTTCTAGGCTTTCGCTGGCTATTGCCCTGGCCTGCAGATGTTACTAGACCATTTACATCGTGTGCCCGAGGCTATTCCCTGGGGGCTGGGGACATCGTGGCTATGTAAGGAACCAATATTCATATGTGTATCGATTTTAAACGATGATCATATATTGTTTGAATCAATTCATTGTAGTTTTTCTCATACAATGCCAACGTCAGATAAGTCATATTCAGAATGTGAATTAATTATTATTATTTTATATATTAACTGACTGATGTGTCAATTACGCTACAGAACCATATGTGCGATTCTTTTATGTGTTATCATTGCTGGAACTGTGTATGATATGGTGAGAATGAGGCGAGAGAAGTCGTCGTCTGCGCAGCCTGTGATGCCATCAAAGACCAAAACTCAAGACAGTCAAGAACTTGACAACCACTTAGATACCAACAACTCTACCACCAATTTGGACATAGAAATCGACTTCAACGAATCAACCAAATGCGACGTATGCGCTACTAAGTGTCAAGGTATCAAACATAGTTTTGTAATAATTAACAGCATGTCTGTTATTTAAACTACAATACTACAATTGTATATGTGTGCAGTGGTAGCCTGAGGAAAGAGAAATCGTCAATGTGGTTAGTGCGTCGTGGACGCCTGTATTTCAGTTCACGGCAAATGCCATATGAACATACGCACATTGGTAAATTTTCAGATGAAAATGTCCAGGATGTCATCAACCTGAACAAATAATGTAGAATTTGTTGTTTAAAATATTCATGAAAATTCGGGCAAACATTGTGTTGACGAGTCACACACACACAATTTTGTTCTGAAAACAGAGTTGTACATGGTACCGATCAACCCATGAGAATGCGACGTTTCAATAACGATTTGCGCACGGTATTATAATATTCATGTTGTGTTCATTGCAGATATAATAATTGGGTGTCTCATGTCATTCTCCGTCATCGCTGTGGGTAGAAAAATGATGAGTACGACTCAAGCAAAGGGTGCCATCGGTTGTCTAAACGGAATACGTGTTATCAGTATGTTTTGGATTATACTATATCATGTGGTTCTGTTTCTGGCGACATATTATCCAGTTCTCGGTGAGTACATATAGATATTACTTAATTTCATCAACTGTGTGAGTTTTCCCATGAAGAGATGGGTCTGTACAATGCCGTTTATCTATTTTAGATACCCGATAAACTAATATGTGAAATAATATGTAATAAATTAAAAAATGATAAAATATAGCATCACATTATTGAAGCTGGGGGTTTCTGTGATCTTTGTCATTATATTCGAACTTCTTAGAAACGGTCAAATCGAGTTACTGGCGATAACATATATAATTTTTTTTTTTTTTGTTATCAGGTAATATTGGTTATGTTAATAAAGTGGCCGAATCGTGGTCATCGATTATACCTAGGAAGGGTGATCTTGCTGTCGAAGCATTTCTTGTTCTTAGGTGAGTGTTGTTGTGTGTTTTTTATCAACGCATATATCCAAAGGAAATACCATCATAATAATAATCCAATACTCTAGCATAAACATATTTTCCCCTGGGATATTCTTTACTCGGTGCATGTGTGACTGATGTTTTTACAGGCGAGTAATATAACATTGCGCCGTGTTGTTAGGTGATTTGTCATTCAGTAATATGTATGACATACCTCTGATTTCCTGTGCTTATACTATGCCATCCTCTGTTAGGAATCCCATTTGTTTAATTTAATAATGTTTTTTACATCTGTAGTGGTTTGTTGGTAACTTATCTAACAATGAGACAATTCAAACGTTGTGGTGGTCCCAGACATCATAACTGGTTCTTGTTCTACTTCCATCGATTCTGGAGACTGACTCCTGTGTACATGTTTGTGTTGATGTTGTACACTACTCTGGTGATATTCGTGTCCGATGGACCACTGTGGAATCAATGGATACCCACTCAGGCAGAGTGTGAAGAGACATGGTGGGAACATTTACTATATATCAATAACTTGTACCCCTTGCCCGGAACTACTGACGGGGTAGGTATATAGGTGACAACCATTGTTCATTCATTATTTGGTTCACATGAACGTAAGAATTTGTCATGGTCATAAGCCCTTGGATTAAATTACATTACATTACATTACATTACGTTACATTACATTACATTACATTACATTACATTTATTATTTGATTCACACAAACGTAAACATGTGTCATGGTCATAAGTCATTCGATTACATTACATTACATTTATTTGATTCACGCAAACGTAAAATGTTTTCATGGTCTGACCATAAGCCATTACATTATATTACATTACATTACATTTTTAATTTCGATTTGCATTACTTTATAGTGTTTTGGGTGGTCTTGGTACCTGGCTTTGGATATGCAGTTATACATTATTAGCCCAATATTCATCATAACTTTCTACAAGTAAGTCACTTATATGACAACGCAACATATATTATAATCACTACTACATAATATCAGAATACCTCGCACTCACTGTGAAATTACATGCTACGTATACTTAAGTCTATGTATAAGAAATGGGCCTGAGCGATATCATTATACAATAATGCATCCTTATATACATACAGGTCTCGTGTGGGCGGCGTTATTTTGACAGCAATTACCTGTTGTGCCTGCTTTGGTGTATCTGCTTATTTTTCTGTTGTTCAAGGCAGACCCTTTGGATTTGACACTGAGTAAGTGTGAAATTCTTTATCTTTAACGTTGAGTAAGGTAGGCGCTACGTGTCCCAATGATTGACAACGTGATCACGTCTTATAGCATCGCGTGGCGTTCACGTTTTTGCTTCGTATATAAAGTATTGTATTATTTCTGTAGATATTATAAAGAGCCGAAATACGAAGGTGGAGATGTGTTGTACACAAAACCCTGGTATCGTTTACCAAACTATCTTGTCGGTGTAGTCTTGGGGTACCTATTCTTCTGTTTGAATGGTAAAAAGTTCAAAATAAATAAGGTTTGTAAATCAATATTTGTACAGTGGATCTGTATGACTTATTGGCGTAATGTACTGCATGTGTCGAACACGTGCTCCAATATATTGACCTCGTCTGGGGCCGATAACAGCCACTTGGGGTCGCTAATTCTTTACACAGACCGAAGACATAGACAATAACTGTTTTATTATCCCGAAAGTTAACAACACAGTAAGCGAGGTAAATCTATGAGCTAAAAGCAATTATCAGATTCAAAAATAGCCATCGGTAGCATAAAGAAACGCATTCGAAAGTATTATCCATCCTACTAATCGTGTCACGGATGTCATGACACCAGGGGCCAGTAACACATAAAATGACGTCAGAGGCAAAAAATACGACGGGAAGGACAATATCAATATGGTTCAAACGAGTCTGTGTCCATGTTTGATCAATAACATTGACCAATATTTTATTTAATAATAATACGTTATATATCATATTGAATGTGGTCGCTGTTTCATATAATGTTTGATGTCGTGTTCTGGTCATTACATTGCTGCACAATATCACGATGTACATAGAGTATCATTGTTATTGACATCATTTTACAAACAAGACACACGATTATTTAATAATGCGAGTTTTGTTTATCTTTTCTTGAACAGATATTAAATCTGTTCACGTGGGCGTGTGCTATTGCCGTTGGATTGGCTGTTGTGTTAGGAGTCTACACTTCGATGACAGATCACCGTGTGGACCAATGGGTAGCTGTGTTGTACGAAACAACACACAGATTTGCATTCTCTGTAGCAATCGGTTGGGTAATATTCGCTTGTAATACTGGTAATGGCGGTAAGAGTTTTTTTATTTACTTCCACAGTATTATCTTTACTCTAACAGTATTGTGCGACCACACATTTGTCATTAAAATAACTTTATATTGCCCTCAAAAAGTACGCTGTGTATTATTCATTAGATACAAACATTCGAATTTATTAAACGTTGCCATGATTACATTATATACACACCAGATTAATGTATTTACTCTATGCACTCAAATAAATAGTTAAACTGTCAAAGTGTTATTTCTATAGGACCTGTAAATACACTGTTGTCATGGAGTGCCTGGTTACCACTGGCTCGAATGAACTACTGTGCATATCTGATACATTTCGTTATTGTCTTGATATACGATTATAGTTTAAGACAGTTGTTCTATTATTCAGATATGAATACAGTAAGTATATTTATTTGTTCACACTATGCACCTTCTAATCATTTTACTGCGCGGTGACGCTCAAACATATCGAGAACCATATCGCAGACTTTTAGTTCACACTACCCACTTTTATAATAGAACGAGTGACGAGACTCGAAATGAACAACATTCATGTTCGAAATGGGGAAGGTTGACATGCAAAACCAATTAGAAACGTTTTTGTACTAAAGCGACATTGTTTTGTTTTTCTTTCACTAGGCGTTTGCGTTTATTGGCATTCTGGTAGTGACATATATGGCGGCTTTTGTCATTGCAATGGCAGTAGAACTTCCGATGATTGAACTAGAAAAAGTCATATTACCATGTAAAAGGAAAACATCATGAATCTTTCTTCGTTTTAGACGTCGTTTGACTGACTCTGTTTATTCATGTATTATAATAAGCCATATGTCAGTTTTATGTATATATGCATATGTACAGACAAACAATGCATATAATTGTATGATATTAGGTCAAATCCTTCTATATATATAACTTTTAAGATTTCATGTTGTTTATATCGCTTTATTGTATGAAATGCTAACGCTCGACGATTATGACGCCTTATAACATAATATTTGCATAATGTAATAGTATTTGTTGGTCAATGACTAGTAATTAACTTAGGTTTTAGAACTTTCGCTTATCTTGTACATGTATACTCATCCAAAAAACAACTTGTCTTTGTAAACTTACAATTATGTAATAAGATTTTATACAATAAAGAGAAATGTTTTTATACCGCTAAACAAATATTAAGTTCGTTTCAGTGATGACACCATATCAAGTGAAGGACGGTACTACTATTGTAGAATATGACTATGAACTCAATAATTATCACATACAAACATGATACTACGCAGACAAATTCATATACGTTGTGACTAAGCCAATGTAATCGTGCAATAAAATGTTATGTTTCAAATTGTTAGAGGTATTTAACGAGGTTCCTACATATGTGGTTTTATTTAGTTTGACTAAAATTCTTGTTCGAAAAATGTAATAATTACATTTTTATAAGGTCAAATACAAAGCTTTTGACAACATTTGTATCACAATATTCTGATTTCATATCGCATTTAATAAGTTGATATAAATGACTCACGTCATCCTCGGTTAATCATGTCGAGTTTTGTTACCTTTTAACCAGTTACTGCCATCGCAATCAAGTAATGGATGGAACACATTGGTTGTGAAAAGTTTAAGACATTCATCTACAATTTTATTGTGTGTCTAAAGCAGTAAATGTAAATTCTCATATGATGACTTCCTAAACAAGTTGCTTTGAAAATGTATTTCATAAATTGTTGCCAGCAATAAAATTTGTAACATTGACCTCGCCACTGTAAGTTAACTACAGGCGTATTGATGTACGGGCCACAGTACTGGTTGTTGTTATCAACTCATAGAACGGAGTGACCTCGATCGTTTCCTACCAACGCTCAAGAAAATCATTCTGTATTGACGTCACACTGACACCTTATCACTAGCCATACAATTAAGATAAATGGTTCAATGCCCTTTTTAAGTAGGATATGAGATTGGACCCAATTTTTATTTGAGCAAGTGGGACATTTTATATTATTTTTGTTAGTTTTAAGTTCTTTCTTTTAATGCTCTAGAGATATTTAAGTAAATTAGATTATAAGCCAACTGTCGCCAGTCCTGTTATGAGGCAACTATTTTTTATAGGATAAACTTATTCAACATGGTACGTTCATACTTATCAGTCTGATGTGAATGTCGCATTGTCATACAAATCACTCCACAACCCCGACACGGGTTCCACGTGATGTATATTCTGACTCATCGTCAGTCATATATTATATCTAATTATGAGTAGACGGCTTACTGACGTCATTTCGTGACTTCTGACGTATACTGAGGTCAACCCTCTATTGATTATGGAAGCCCTCATAAACAGTCACATTAGATTCCGAATCAGGATGTGGAGCAGCTGTAACGTTATCGATGGGATGTTAGTATGATTGTATGTGTGAATGCAACCAGTCAGTGCGTGTTGCATCCATTTTGAAAGGATCTTATACGGTTCCTATAGACTTATATAGATTCCTATAGAAATCTAATAATGGTTTTCAATAGTTTTGAAATTGATCTTATAATTTTTTGAGATGTAGTTACAATTATCTGTAACTGCTATACACAAGTTTCGTCTAAGTTCTTTATAGACTTTTTAATGTGGTTAAAATATTATGTTGACTATTACTTTATTTATAAATATTTCTATAGACTTGTAATCAATTTCAATTGAGATAAATTGATTTAAATATATAATACTTTTAGTATTTAGAAATTTACAATAATTATCACTGCTTCACTCATATAAGTATATCGCTAAAATGACTATAGCATTTCCATGTATATGTCTATTACATTTTATTGTGAACTATATAATGTAACTTAATTTGTAATTGGCAAATTGGAAGAAAATACTCAGTGTGTTGTTCCAGTTCGTGTTCTGTGGTTTAATACAGTACACACATCGACATTCCACTTGACATCTGTGGGGCTTGCACTCAACTACTAGGGGAACTAACTACTAGTGTTTCTGCTTGAACTAAACTGGGACATAGATATGATCTATACTTTAAAATGCGGTTGTTTGTCTGCAAGAATGTCGCCACATGATGATTTGTCATTTATTGTGTTTGTGTTAGAGTATCATAATTTTAGCAATTAGTTCTTGTTATCTTGATATTAAGGCTATAACTTGACATTTTTTGTGTGTGATTGGTTCATCAGTATATTTCGTTGTGGTCTGAGGTTCTTGCATCAATCCAGATCAGTTAACTTTAAGGCACATGAACTGATTTGTATTTGCATGTTTTTATATAATTAAGTAGAGTTCGATAACTGTTACGTCATCTGATGTTTCTCATAAGATACTTCACGTATCACGTGACATCCGTATCTGAGTTATGACGTTTAAGTGTTTGACGATTATTTACAAACACTGAGTATAGGTAACATCACGGACAGATGGGATGTGTGTGGGCGTTGAGACTGGCCACTCAGAATCCATGGGCACACCTACTTTACAACTCCACTGCTTCAAATAATTCTAAAATTCTACTAGTAATTCTATAATAGTGGAAGACTTAAAAAATATCCGGGTCTTATCCATTGTTGGTATTTTAATATATGATTAGTTTGAGTCCAAATATTTTTTTCAATTTACCCAATTTTAAGTTTTGAATGCAATAATACCGTACGTTTGAGTTATTTTATGAGTGTTGCCATCAGTACAATTGACCTCGCATATATGTGACAAACATTTACATGTGTAAATATTTACATGCGAGTACATGTGTAAATATGACAGTGTAAATACTAAAAAATCAATAAAAAAATCAACGTTTTATACAAATTTATCAGAACTGACCTCATTAGTTAAATTGCCGCCATTTGTGTATGAAAAGGTGTCATTCGATCTGACCTGGATTAAATAAGGACAAACTAAGAAATGGTTCAAAATCTGGGGGGTCATGATTTCACTCATAAGTTGAAGAGATTGTCTTATTTTGTTTGTAGTTTTCGCACCAGTAAAAAATAATCCTAGATAAAAGTCAGGGTCAAGTGGCTTATAATTTTTCTTTATCAGAAAGAGATGTCTTTTAGTGCGTTTAGTCTACGTCTCGGATTCATCATCTACAGTTCTACACAGCACGAATACGATAATCTTATTTCAATATATAAAAATTACACAGTTGGGTCAAAATCACATCGAAGCAGTAGTTTATTTCCGTAGTTGGTGAAAGCATGCATCAATGTGCGATAAACTTCAACAAGACTGACGCACAAGAGTGCAAGATGTCTTTTCAATGGTGAGTTTCGTGCTACTATTTTGAAGGATGCAGTGTAATTTTCAAAATCCAAGCCAAGTAATCAGATTACCGGGTATATGGGTATTTTTCTGACATAAATTACTTTCGTTCAACTCCATCGAGGCAATCGTGGAGTCGTTCAACGCCGGAGACACAAATTAATAAACAGTTGTCAAACGATTCAACACATCCGCGTAAAAATATCGATCTCAAAGCGTCGTTTTTACACAATGTAAAGTTACAATTGAAAGGGCACTTCCAGTTAAGCCTAATCTCACAACAAATTTACTTTCTGGATTAAAATTACAATGGATAACAGAAGATAGATTAACTTTGTAAACAACATAAACAATAGTGTCCCATGATTCTTTGGTGCAATCCATGGGATTGAGCGGTTCCCAGAAATATACTTGCCGTCGATTACAATAGTACTACTTTAAAAGCATACGTGTGGTTTGTTGATTCTGGCTGTTTCCAAAGTGAGAAGTTCAATTTTGAGTTTCCTAGCACAAACTGAGTGGTAATGGGACAAGTTAACCGTCATTTTTTTATACTTTTTAGTCGCACAATCGGCGATAAAATTATTATTTTTTTGTAAATTATAACAATTTTATCCTTTTATCATCTAGTATAAAATATTTTAAAGTTCATTTACCAGTAAGAAGAAATCAACACGAGAGCACTCTAATAACAAGAAACACGCCAAGAATACAAAATGGCGGGTGTGATGACAGAGATACTCTCGGTGTTCCGTGTTTGGTGTAGTAATGTATACATCTTCTTTTGTTTGTAACTACAATGGTAATGATTACTAATATATTGATGTTGGCATTGCTTGAGATTGTCTACTATGATGTCATAATGTCAATCTCATTGCATTGACCAATACATAGTATGCATATATTAAGATTTGTTACAATTATTTATTACATTGAACCGCCACGATACAGTAAATAAATAAATAAATAAATAAATAAATAAATAAATAAATAAATAAATAAATAAATAAATAAATAAATAAATAAATAAATAAATAAATAAATAAATAAATAAATAAATAAATAAATAAATAAATAAATAAATAAATAAATAAATAAATAATATGCGATGATATATATACCGGGTGTTATCACAATCTACCAGTCAGCGGCCTCAATACAGAATTGCAGTGCCAGATGCACATGCTCGTAGGTATCATCACAGTCACTCTACTTTTAGTAGAGTGACTGTGGTATCATCCAATCAGTAGCCTTCAACAGTGTATATAAGCGTGTTCATTTAATCAGGTTTTCGCTGATTATTGCCATGGCAATTTCCGAACACATTGGCATCGTGTGCCCGAGGCTATTTCCTGGGGACATCAATAAAGAATGTGAACAATTTTAGCTTACCTCTGGTATATTTTGAATACAATGCTTATCTGGCGCTTATCCGATGCCAATACGATGTCAATCCGATTCTGATGCTAACTCCATGCTGCTTTTTATGCAAATTCCCACTAAGCTGGGGAGTCAAATACAACATGGCGTCTTATTTATGTGGGATCATGGCTTCTTGATGTTGTGACAGGTTTTTGGTCATTTTTTCTAACATTATGAACGATCGACAAGAACTGTGCGGATGCAAAGGAATCAGGACTTGTCTGGTATGTGAAAAATCCAAGATAGACCTATCGTGTCGCAGTGGCCGGTTCGAAAAGCCTGACGCATCGTACAGTTTTTGTTGGTTGTGCAATATAGCTTGGCTGGAGTCGAACACCGAACAACATCCTTCACACCAGGGAAAGTTCATCAGATTTCCAGGAGTCACTTTGATCGAAAATGTAGTATCAGAGGAAGAAGAAGAAGCCATCATACAAGCAGTGGATGCCACACCGTGGAAAGTTTCACAGTCAGGCCGGCGAAAACAAGATTATGGACCGAAAGTCAACTTCAAGAAACGCAAGGTCAACTCAAAATGTTTCTCGGGACTCCCTGCTTTCATCCGACCACTTACCGAGCGATTGGTGCAGATGGATGGGTTGGCCGACTTCCAGGTCGTCGAGCAATGCAACTTGGAGTACGTGCCTGATAGAGGCTCAAGTATCGACCCACACTTTGACGATGTGTGGCTATGGGGCGAGAGACTTGTCACTTTAAACTTGAATTCTGAAACGACCCTGACCATGACACAGAAAGAAAAAGATATTTGCGTTAGTATACCGCTACCGAAGAGATCAGTCATCGTACTGTATGGTCCCGCCAGGTACGAATGGATGCATGCAATTCACCGCGAGGATATTATTAACAGACGCATCGCTGTTACCTTTAGGGAGCTATCTGCAGAGTTTCTTGACGGAGGAGTAAACGAGGATACCGGTTCACGACTTTTAGAAATTGCTAGGACCTATGAAGGAAAAGCTGTTCAATAATATGCGGTGGATGGGTACAAATATCCATCACGTTGTACAGAGTATGTAACCTCAACTTCTATACACTGTGAATTGCTTGAACACGTTTTGAGTACTAGTAAACAAATCTAATATTATAAATAATAAATCTGCGTTTTACGTACAATTTACCACAAATGAGAAGTCATGTTTTCATGCAGCAGTTGAATTACCAATTTGTATATAGCGTTTAATTAAAATTACTAATAACTACTGTAACAATGAGGAAAAATAAACAAATATTATATTTTGCTATCAGTGCATTCAGGAGTACTTTTTTTTTTATCTGTGCCCATCGCTGACAATAACATGCATGGGTGTGTGTATGGAGCACTGTTACAGGGTATATTTATCAGACAGATAACCATTTTAGAATTAAGAAAAAATAAAATTTAACGATAATTCGTTTTAGGTTATAATGCTTTCTTGATATTGGTGAGTCTCTAAGTAGCTTGGATAAGGTTGTTTTATTTCCAAAAAATATACTATATCACTAAATAAATTCATATTTCTCCAGTAAAATGTATTGTTCATGTAAATAAAGAATCAATATTGTCAAAAGTTACAATTAATACAGATGTACATCGATTTCTACGTCTTATAAAGTGGACAGATACTCGATGTATCATCTTTCCTTAATGGTAGGGCAAATATACAGTAAAATCTATCAAAAATCTCACCTGGAATTACTAGTACTATTTTAGTATCCACAGTAATACTCATTACATTTTGTAGCTGTGACAAACAATGAAAGAAAAGCTAGAATGACGTATAAAATAAACTTGGAAAACTGAAAAAATCACTTACACTTTGTTTTAAACCTTGTTTTTATGAAACTTTGAATGAGTAATTTGTTTAAGAAGCGGGAATTGAGTTCCAGGCGACGATAACAACACACGCTAAAAACGCAAAGGCTCATGGGTAGATGCTTGTTTGTAAACAATGACACGCTATGGCCATCTGACGCATGCGCAGGTGTCGACCCTCCTGCTTTAACATAATTTTGAATTTATTGATGTTTAACAAAGTTTGAGGACTGAAAAATTTGGGTTGTTGAAACCTGAATAGCGTTTTCCTTTCAAGGTTGTACAATCTGCAGACGGTAAAGAAAATTTTACTTACTTAAGGTAATGCATTGATTTTTTTTCTTTACCAGGTGGTATTTTAGGAGATTTATGTCTATGAATTCAATTTCGAACCAAAAGTATATATGTCGCCCTCTACGTCAATTTCGCTTCTTTCAAATATTAATAATTGTGAAGCTAGGGAGTCCGAAGAAAATTCGTTGTTCGTCGAAATACATGTAATGTCAATGTGGAATCATGTTCCCAAGCATACAAGACGTTACAAATGAAATATATAGTAAGTTGTTCGCTTGGTTTTTGATACTGAAGCAATCTCGAAACAATCAATCTGACCTTTGAACTTTGACACTCCTCCCTGCAGACGGCGTGTGTTATACCAGTTGGGACAACAACGTGAGTTTTTTTTATATATATAGGATACTTCAATAATTGCTGTGAGTATATTGTGTTTCTTATGTTTTGTAGCAAGGCGCGAGAAGAAAGTGCAGATTGAAATGTCCCACTTAACATGATTGAGACAGTACAACGAACAACTAAACCGCCTGTTGATGACATTTTCTCAGAAATCTCGTTTATTTCAGATCAGTCTCGTTTATTTCAGATCAGTCTCGTTTATTTCAGATCAGACGTTTCTAAACAATGTCTGTGTTTATATAATAAAATTAGATTAGCGTTTTTTTGTACTTAACAACCATTATTTCTGTTTATATCTATCACTAAGTAGCGAATTATTCTGTTGCGTAACTTTTTTAATTCCCATATTTATTGATTACTTCCACTGATCTACATCTACATTTTCGACTTGGCCAGAAACTACTACTATTTCTAACATATAGCGCCCTCTATCAACAGGGATGTTTTCACTTCAATACAAAATGTTTCTTTTTCAGGCTTGAAGTCCTATTGTTAATGTTCAGATATATTTTTTTTTCGTCAGCTTGCTTGAGAAAACTACTGAACAGAAAGATAAACAAATTTTCTGTATTTTTTGATAATTAGAAATATTAGTATACGGCCTATCTATTTCAGGAATAAAAACCTGTGATGTGAAAAAATGGCAAACAATTAAAACTGCAACATAATAATGTATATAATATCAAGATTTCATTTTGATTTATTCACAGAATTGGCATCATGAAAAAAAAGTGTGAAGTTCATGCTAGAAACATACTGAATTCATTGCGTGAACTATGG